ACTGGAAGGGTAGAAAATTGTAAGGAGAGGTCACTGATGCAATAACTTTGCAATTTCTTGGTGAACTTGGCAGAAACAAGCATGTCAGAATTATATGCATTTCAGTTCAGTCCTATGTGAAGTAAACATCTAGGAACGAAACACATAGGTGGCATCTACAGGACAGGGAACAGCGGAGCACAAATATTCAGTGTGATACTGCCACCAAAACATCTGATAAAACACCCGACTGGGTCCACCCCTCAGGGCAACAAGGAGATAATTTCAGCAGTTCTTTGAAATTGGTGCAACCACAGCAGGAACCTAGACTGCTCAGCTCAAGATGATGAGCTGGAGATGCTTCAGAGAAGATTCAAGGACAACGGTCCTGGGATTTGTAAACCTGCCTTCTAAGGCAAGACTTCAACAGCAAAACCACTTGGTTTACCGAAGTGCTGGCTGCAGAGGTGACCTGACCACCATCCTTTGGCATCCAACAGAGAGGAAGACATCAGTACCGTTTATTTCAGTGAAGTAGCTATTTGCTGAGTGATAGTTGCCTCTAAATCTGGTCCTTGATGCACAACTCTACTGCCAGCATTTATCGCCTGCATCTATTGGAAAGCAGCATTACTTGTCCACTGTGTCCAGACATGGGAACAACTAAGACAACAGCTGAAAAGTGCTGCCTCATGTGTACTCACTATATAGTTGCATACCTAATTCTTGCTTCCTCTCAGCAAAGAGCAGACTGCAAAATTTCCCTTTTGCTCCAAATGGCTTCTTTTGCCTCAGAGGCTCTTACAAAACCTTTCTGCTTGAACATGCAACATGCGCTGCTTAAGTGCATACCCTTTACAGCGTTTTAAATCACAATACTAAGCTGAACTAGCACAGATGGCTGTATATTATTAATTGTTTGCAAATAGTAATAAATGGCTCCATAGAGTAGACTTGTAATCTTGTAAATAAAGTCCCTGCATCTGCATTGATGGTAGGCAGCATGTGGAAACGTTCTGGAGAGAGGTGAGCTCCCAGCCCCTGAGGAATGCAAGCTTAGCATCTTAGCAGATCAACTATTTTGTATTTCAATTAGCAAAGAATTCATCAGATCCTTGGGGGGGGGGGAGGGGAATAAAAGAAGACTGACCTCTCAGCCCACTTGGGGGCTGGATTTTCTCATTTGCTTAACATATCCCATGTCCTGAAATAGGTAGGATGGGTGACTAATAGACTTAAGATCTCTGAGGTGAGGTGATGCTAGTGACTGAAGAATATGCATTAGCTGGCAGCAGCACAGCCATAAAAAGGAGAAATCCACTTAGAGCTGCTTCTCCTGTAAGATAAGCCCCAGGTTTGCAGAGTGAGATGCCTCCTCCCTGCTGCAGCAATGAATTAGGTTTGTCATTTGTTATTGTCTTCCCAGCGCACAAAATAGCAGCCCTGGGCTGTAATCTCCACTCATCTGAGTCTGCACAGTAATTGCTGGCAGCCATGGAAACCAACCTTCCCACAGTCATTTATAAACTTGACCCTCCTTGCTTCCTTATTGCTGTATTCACCCGAGCCCTTGATGGGGGCAAGTAAAGAGAGAGGAAATTGTAAACTTCACTTGCAAACTAACGTTTGGCGGCAGAGCACAGAGAACTGGCCAGAAGCCCATCGCGTGCGTAGCAGCCTTTCCAACGGCACCACGAGGCTTTGCAAGCTCCTGGTGAAGAAGGTGCAGCAGTGCCATCAGCTGCAGTAAGCTCCAGTTAATGACTAATGGGCCTTTATCTGCATTGCACGGGACCTGAGTATGGCCTCTCACTTCTACATCCCATCACTGCCTTCCTGGGGACCCTTAGATGTCGCACCTGACTTGCCTTCTCCCTGAGATCTCCCAGTTATAAACTGGGGATAGCCTATTCTGCAGCACCATGATGAAGGTGAAACTATGAAGGCCTGCAAGTAGAGCTAAGATTTGGGCCGTAGAAGCCCAGAGAACCCATGTTGTTATTTTCCTCCAGGGTACAATAAAAATTCTAAACATATTTCTAGCCCAAGTGAGGGTAGAGGTAAGAATGGATCTTTTCATCCCCATCTGGTTGCAGTCCACTAGGACTGCACAGGACTGATGCACAACTTCACAGGCAGTGGAGGCAGCACAGGTAACTTCCAAGCTTGCTCGCTGCCATTTTAGGAGGATCTGCAACCCACCTTGACACAGGACACCCCAAATTCATTTCTCCTCCAAGCCTTCATTGCTCCACTGTGGACACCTGGCCACCATTGTGGTTTGGACTGAGACTGCCAATCTGTTCTATGTCAACCACCAAATACCACATGCACAACCTTTAGATGGCTAAAGCTAGGTAAGACCTCTGGCATGACTCTTAATTCCACAACTTTGTGGCCATCCAAAACCCTGATCATTTTATAATCACTATGAAATCCCTATTGCACCAACAAACAGCAAAGAATCGCTTGTGTGGAGTTTTGAAAGTTAGACTTTGTCCAATTTAATTATTCAAGTGTCCTAACCTCTCACACTTCAGGATCAGCAATGACTGAAGACTGACAGGAGTTTCACCAATACTGGAAAACACAACATCATTGACCACTGGCACCATCAGATTATACCACCTGAGAAATATCTGATGTAATACATCTCATTCCTAGAATCCACTTGTAAGGGTTTCTTCCCCCGCCCCCCTCCCTCCCCCTTGCCCTTATTTTTTCTATATCGGTATTATTGGTTCTAAAGCCCAGTCCAAAAAGGATGACTATTTCTTCTTAACATGCCACACCAGGTTATTATATCCTGTCAGGATGCGTTAAGCCAGGCTGAGTTAGGGTAAAAGTTAGCAAGTGTAAGGTCAGGCATTCAAAGATGGTCCTTTCTGGCAAGGTGAATTAAGCAGTACACCATCTCGTTCAGTTTTTTCCTTTGGGATGGAAGCTAATTAAGATATGCTAAGGTTGGGCAATTTTTCTCAAAAGCAGACCTCCATAATTATCTGGACCTTATTTAAAAGGAAAAGAATATGCTTTGGTATCATTATTTACTCAAGAGCTGTGTGCTAGCCGCGGATTTTGACTCCAGTGACTAAACCTCCTTGTGTTCAGATTTGTTTTGAGCCAAGGCTTTCAGCTTGAGCCTAATGCAAAGTGCTATACCTCTGGAAACGATTTAGTCTCTTTCTTCGCTTTCAGTACTGCCTGATGCAACAGGCTACTCCTGGTCAAAGGAAAGAAGACCAGCTGTATGACACTCCCTTTTCTTTCTCCATATTCATGTAGCCATTTCATCTACATCTCCCCACAACACCCTTATTGAAATTTCCCATCTCTCTCCATTGTTAAAAAGCCACAGACTGGAAATGTTGCAGGAGGGGAGTTCAAGCAGCAGCATCTGCTGCATCCAGCTGAATATGCTCAGATTTGGCCTCTTAAAGCCAGTTTAATATCAACCTTTCCCATCTGTGTTTTCCTCTGCAGAACTCGCTAGCAGCTGGTTACTAAATTTAGTAATGAGAAGTGATGCATGGGGGCATCTGAAAAAAATAGCATGTGATCATGTAATCAGTGAGGGCACCATAATGAACTGGAATGAAGGGTCAGGATTAAGCTTGGAGACAGATCTTTAATTCTTATATTTTCAACATTTTGGGTGTTTGGCTTAACATGCTGAGTGTATACTTGGTGTACTGTTTTTCATAGAGGGGAAAAGATCTTATTAGGCCAGTCCACTATCCCTGAAGCTCTTGGTAGTCTAAAGTCTGCGCATGAGCTAATTTGCTTTAAAGCTGCACACACGCAAATGAAACATGTGCACCAGAAGTACTTGGATATCTAGTAGTCTTAGGGGAGGCTAAAGGGACAGCATATGAGCAAGCAGATGAAACATACAAATAGCACCTTTCTCACACCCACCCAAATCCACCTGCAAGCTAAAGGATGTAACACGTCAGCAGTGAGGTCCTGTCTATCCCTGGTCAGCTCCACTTCAGGTGATCACCAGCTCCTTCTCTGCAGCACTGCTCATTGCCTGGATAGGCACCAACACCTGAGATTTGCCCTAACAAATTTACCTGGTCTTCAAGTGCAACACTGAATGTAACAGAGTAAACCTGCAGCTTTCTCAGCACCGACTTAATTCAGTTGCTGTAATTTCTGTGTATTGATTTGACCTAAATTATTTAACAGGGCAAGTTTATTAGAAGAAGCAGCACATATGCTTGCTCTGTTCTTATTCTTCCCCAGGTACCTGTTTATAACCAAGGTTTGTTGGGGGGGGGAGGGAAAGCTGCTGCCTTTTGTTTGGGGCTTTTTTTCCAGGCAAACTCATTTGCTGATGAGTACAAAAGATACTTTATGGGTGAGGCAGAAAAAGACACACTGAAATGGGTCATTGGCTGCAGGGCCAGCCAGCAAGATGTGGGACCTAGGCAGGCAGGATTGACTCCACTCTTCACCCTTTCCCAGCTAGGATCATGAAGGTACTGTCTTGCTGCTGGCCATGCCAGGAGCACAGGATGAGTGGTACCACGGCGTGGGGAACAATGGCTACACTTGTGCTCTGTGGCATAGTGGGAGGGGGCTTCTAGGATGGAAGAGCATCAACATCTCTCGACAGAATGAGTGAAGGTGGCAGTCAGCACCAATGTCATAGGGTCCCAGCCCCACAGCATTAGGCATAGACCCTCACAATCATAGGAAGCAAGTACAAGATATGGAATCTTGAATTTTTCTCTCCAAACCTCTTTTAGTGGTCCTTCCACCCACCCCAATCCACCACTCCCTTCCCACAGACTGCTAGCCGTGGCAGAATCCTTGCCCACTGTGCTTAGCATAGCCTTTGATAGCTTTACTGCAACTCTCTTTGGAGGATGTTTTGCAGCCAGTTGTTAGGTTGTCAGCTGCTCTATCTAAAAGCACTTGGGATTTGACATTTAAAAGCTTCTTTCTGGGGATGCATAGTGCTCTGGTGGTAATGCCTCCATCAGGATTTGCACATGTGCTGCTTTTGAAGTCTGTTCCCCTCAGCATAGCAGGGTTGGGCTGAGCTCTACTGCTGTTCACCCAAAAGGATCAAATGAAAGAAGGGGTGATGACTTGTCTGGACCTGTTCTTTAGCAGGAGGTAGGAAAAATCCAAGTGGAAAACTGCTTCCTCCAAAATCTAACTGCACATGGGAAAATGGGCAGGCAGAGCATGGATTGTTATGTCCTGTAGGACTAACAGGGCTAATATCCCTGATGCTAATCAAACACACTACAGATTATAGAAAATAGAACTGCAAGGGCACAAGCAACATCTTATTCATCCCACTTCCACAAGGTGCCATTTACTGCTTGCCTAGTCAGATCTTGAAAGCCTTCTGCAATGGAGATAACACTGCCTTCCCAGGCAACCTCCTCCAACCGCTTTATCTGCTGTTCCTATCAGGAAGTTTTGTCCTAATGCCAAACCTAAATCTCTCTTTCTACAACTCAAGGACAGTATTTCTTTCCCTTGTCACTGCAGGCAGAAAGTATTCCTGTACTTACTGTGTCTTTTTGTGTGTTTAGAGATCGCTGCCATGTCTGCCTTCAGTCACTTCTCTTGGTCAAGCCCACTTCTTTTGCTCTTGCCTCACCTGGCATGTTTTCCATTCTCTCTACTCTCAGTCTGACTGTCACTAGTTGGCTCAGACCTCTCTTGAAGTGTCACGATATCATGTTCAAAAGAACACCTAGCAGTCTTTCAACTGGTGGTTGTCCTTCTTGAACCACATACTATTTTCCAGGGTCACCTTTCCCATCAACCATTTCAAATCCTACTTTCTAGATGTGTGTAGAGCTCCTTATCTGCAGATTTAATAATTCCCTAGCCCATCCACATTGCTGGTAATGAAAACAAAGTATTACAGGAGATCCAGATTACCCACTCAATAAATTTTCACAGTCTGACAGCAAATCACTGCAACCTTATCTTTGTATCTGTTTATAGATAGTTTCTGCTAGACTATTTTCTAGTTTGTGTAGCCTGATGGCCATAGTAGACAGACATCCTACTGTTACCACAGTTTGTACAGTCAAAGCACTAGCAGTGGAGGAGCATGGGAGTAACCTTTGCAAGCGGTTTACTCTAGGAGCAGCCTCCAAAGAGGTGGATTTTTCCCTTCCCGGAGCTCTCAGCACAGGAACATGGCTATAGATAGCTGAGTTCCCACACTGGTAACCGCAGCTAATGAGAGATCAGACTCACAGTGTATTTAAGAAGGTGAAGCTTTCTGAAGCCATTAAGTTACTAATGTCCATGTACGCAGACCTGAAAGAAAGGTGCTGAATTGATGGATGTACTTGTCATATTTATGGTTTGTAGCAGAGTGATGAATGTGCTTTGTGGTTTATAATGTGATGCTCATTTAACTCTCCTTTTTAAGATCAGGGTGATTTATAGAAGCCAGCATCACTTTTGTATTTCACTGGGGTAACAGGGAAAATATTATAGCACAGAGGTTTGTCAATTAGTCATGTATGACAAAGCCAGGCTCCAAATGGAGGCCTTTGATTGGGAAGATTCAACCCTGGCAAAAATTATTCCTTTTAAAAACATCTCTAGTGCTGGACTGACACACTGGTTTACATCCTTACCCATCCTTTTGTGGAAGCCCTAATTTATGGGGCTAGAACTTCTGGACTGTCTCTTTGAGTCAATTCACAAAGGTCTGCTTCAGCATACAGCACATCTTTGGCTGTTGCTGACTGGTGTAACAGATGTCAGGTATCACGACCCAGCTGTAAACAACACATCCCTCACCTATTTTTCCAATGATGGGGAATGGTTTGGAGTATATTTGGTTTTATTACCCACGGAGAAGTACTTGATTTGCTGAAGTCAGGGAATCAGCATGCACCAGAAAGGCAGGGATGCAAAATCTGTGATCACATAAGTCAGGGCAGGCATACAGTACTAATGAGAGCTTTAATTTACCAGACCTAGCACCCATCAGCATCTGTGGTTTCAACCTCTGCTTAGCCATGAACTCTTTTCTGACTCTTTTTGCAAGTCTCTTTCTCCATCAGCTTCATCTTTCCCCTCTTATTTAAGCTAACAGAAGTCAGTAATTACCTCACACAAGCAATTAGCATTTGGACAGCACTCTAAAACCACCAGGCACATATATGTCTTAAGCATTTTTACCCCAGCAGGGAAAATGGCAGAAAAATAAGCTTACATGTAACACAAACTAACCTGATACTATCACTGGTAGGATATTCCATGCTCATTTAGCTGAAAATGCTTTTCAAGGTTACTGGAAATGCAGTTAAATATAGTAAAACATCAGAGGTGGAGGCAAGAATGTTAGAAAAGTGAAAATGTGTGTAGACAGAGAAGTCAAGATGGCCCATTTAAATCAGCCAGCCTACCTAGTTATTCTTCGTTTTGCTTTCTCGGACTCTGGACTATGTTCACTGCTGCAGCTTTTACGGTAGCTTCCCCTTGGAAGCCCATTACACACTCAATATAGTCCCTGGGACATAGACATTTTAAGTGGCTGGATGGTGTGAGAAACAAAAAGCTGGGTGCACAGTGCCCGGTGCTGGACAGACACCTGGGGGTCAGGCTGCAGGAGCAAAAAGTGAGGGCAGCTTCATTTCAGGAGGGGAGTAAAAAGACCGGACAAAGATGTTGTCAGGAATGGAGGCAGAGAGGTGCCAGCTGGTGGAGGGGTCCTAGGGGCAGAGCTGGTATGGAGTTGGTGTTATAAAGAACTTGTTGGGTTTGTGGAGGAAGCTCACCTGTTGGCTCAAGGAAAACCAAACCCTCGTAGTTTGGGATGGTTTTGAAGGCTGATGAGAGCACCTCAGCTCCAGCACCTCCTGAGATAGCCCTGGTAAAGTGCCTCCCTACCAGTGGAAAATGCTCACGATAACCATCTGTTATCAGTGATGTGGCAGTCAGGCTCTGTGACAAGAAAAGCCACAGACAGCCTATATATTGCTCTGATGTGGGTCTCCTGCTGGTTAGTTCTCACTGCTGTTTTTAGGCTGAGGCACTTTATGCCTTCAACTCTCTCTCCCCCCCCCCCCCCCCTTTTACTTTTCCACCATCAAATGTCCATGAACTCTCTCACAGTCAGAAGAAATTTGTATCCTTCAGCAGTAATAGATCCATCAAGAACAGGCAAGAGGTAACTGCATACAGAAATGCATATTTTAGATGCTGTTCATTATAATAACTTACACTGCATGAATGGAATAGATATTGAACACATACTGGCATGAAATAATTCTTACTAAGTGGTGTCTGGAGTCAGTTTTCAATCTAATTTCACCTTTGTAGATTTTATTATGAATAGATTTTATAAAGCTCAGCAAATTCTATTCTTTTTTTAGCATGTAGCAGGTTTTCCCTGCAACGAAGAGGATGGTCCAGTTAAGTATCCACTTGTACACTTAAGGGACTGAGATTGTTGGCTCCAGTAAGCTGAAACTCATCTGAATGCACCTCATCTGAGAAAAAAAAGAAAAAATTTTTCAAAATCCAGTAGGCTTTTGGAAATCTAAGGCTTGTATGAAGGTCTATTAGAAAATAACTTTGGAACAGCTCCAAGGTAGCTAGCCTGACAAGGAAGAAAGAGCCATCATGCTGCCAAGGCTCTGTGGGATGATGCTGCCCTGAAGTGGGGAAAGCTCCTTCACATGCTCTGGGGAGAAATGGTGGGAGGGATGGCTCTGCTAAGGTGAAAGGCAGCTCTCCACAGCAACCCTTCTCAACACTTCTGCCCTTTCTCCCCACTGCACCCTTCAAAATGGGGCTCCAGCAGGAGGATAAGAGCTCCATACAAACATAACCAACATAGTTTCTTTCTTCAGATATTATTATTATTGCTATCATTATAACATTGTTATTTTTATTGTTGTTGTTATTATTAATATTATTCAAGCCATGAAGTGCACAGTTACAAAGCCAAAAGGAACATCATGATTATTCAGTATGTCTGCAACAGGCAGCTGCAACATAGGTGGTGGTCTTCCTCACCACCAGACTTCAAGGAGGACAGCCTGTGTGCAGGTGAACATGTTTGGTGGATATTTCCTCTTAAAACAAGCCATGGAAGGACAATGTAATGTGTCACAGTCATTAAAAAGAGAAAAATGTTGATTTCCCCAAAGTTTTTACTACAATACTTAAACCCAAACTAGATCACGCCATACGCCACATGGCCATCAGCTGTCATTTCACCCACCACCTCCTGCTCCTCTCCCTGCTTCGTGTAGAGGTCATGGGACTTTGAGCACACTTAACCTTTCAGTCAAGGCATAGCCTTGAGAGGGCTGAGCAGACCTGAGTGGAAAAAGGACTCTCCACTGCTCCAAATTCCTGCAGCTCCAAACCAGCCACATAGCCGTGGTGAGTAGCAGAGGCCAAGCTGCAGGCATGTCATCAAATAACTGCTGCACAGACTGTTTATTGTCCACTTGATGCCAGCCCTTGTCAGCATCTATATCCCAATTCCTCTTGCTAGAAACAAAGGTTAAGTGAGTCCAATTACTCTAGTAAGGTAATATCAATAATGCTACTAATTACAGCAATTGCATTATGGATCATTAGCTAGTGATTATGGCTTTGTCAAGTACTTGGCAATTTTGTGCAAGAATCACTCACAATGTGTCATGGAAAACAAATATCTTCTCGGCATTGCTAGTTTCCGGTCCATATAAATGAGCTTAAAAGTTCAGGTGAAGGCTGACAAAAGTTTCTTGGGAGGAGAGATATCAATCTAGTATTTGCAGATCCACAACACAAAACAGCAAGAGGGAGATGGTAAGAGAGGGGTGGAGGGCTTCTACCACATGCAAATAGAAATTCATTACATCCTGAAGAGTTTAAGGAAACAGGATCCCACAACAATAAAATGGCCGCAGCTTGTGTGAGCTATTGACACGTTTTTCTACTAAGAGGCATTATTACCCTTACAGCCTCCCTGGAGAGTCTTGGCAAGTCTTATTTTATTTGAATAAATAATTAATTTAGTTTAATTAAGATCATCCAACAGCCTAGAGACAGGTTTTGCTAATTCAAGATTCATGGGGGGGATATGTAGATGGTAAACACAGAGACTGACTTTTTCTGTAAATTAAATTGGAGGTGGCTGAAAGCTCTCTGTCTTGTAGACTTTCCTCTGCCCATAGCTTTGCTGTCAGAGCAGTGATAACCAAAGACACCACATTCCAGAGCACAAGCACTGAGAAATCTCTCTGTGGCCTTTTCTTTGGTCACAAACAAGTGAGGTCCAAGTGTCTAGATCATGTTGAGGAAATTTTTGCTGATTTAACAGCTTTTCCAAAGACCCTCTCCACCTGATCATAAGCCACATTTTCAATCCCTTTCTTAGGTGAGTACTAAAATCATTGCGATCCAATTTTCAAGAAAAATAAAAGGAAAATTGAATTTAAAGCCAGAAAAGAGACCATTAAGCTTCACTAATCTCACTCACGCACATGAGAGACCATAAATTTCACCCTCCACTTCTTGCACCAGTATGCAATAGGATTAAAATGCCTCTTCTAGAAAAGGTCCTTGCCTGGAAGACGATGAGCTTCCTCATCTCATCATCCTGCTAACAACTTCAAGGACACTTTAGCAATTTGAAGAACCTTATGAAATGCCTGGAAACCTTATGAAGCCAGAGAAAACAGCTGGAAGCTAGATTTATGCACAGGCAACCTCTGGGTGCTGGAATATCCCTAGAACATATTTTCAGAAAAGAGGAAAAATCCTTGCATGTTCCAGCCTTAACAGTTAAATCTGTGTGTAAATATTTGCTAAGCTTCATGGCAGATAAGTGGTTCAAAAAGTAAGTAAAATCCAGGGACCTAAAAGAGCATGAGATGGCTAATCTCAGATGAATATAACTGTAGAAAAGTGGTACTCAGAAAATTCAACATCCCAGACTAATTTCTGCCACTTTCTGTCGAAATGAATCTGAATAGACACCAGCACTCTGTTGGCCATGAAGCTGTAATACAAGTAATGCTATATTTGCACTGCTTCTGTCAGGGTTAGAGCAAGCCAAAGGAGTAGGTGGAAAATTCAGCTCCTCACATGTGATGAAAACTGAGAAGACAAGGGCTTAACCTCATTTACCACCCTATAACCCCTCAGACTTAAGAAGATGGCTCGGGCAAAGCTGAAAGCAATACTCAGTCCATAATCACATGAGATATCTAACAGACAAAGCAGATGCTTAGTAAGATTTTAAATGACTCATTGGAGGAAACCTTAAGCAAGAGCCAATTTACAAAGTGCATTAAACAGGGCAACATCATGGCTTTTCATACTCCCTTTTTAATGTACAGGCAAGCAACCAAAGGCGAGGGGGGGAAATCCCTAAGCTATTCTAATAATGCAGCTTCTGTCCACATCATAGGAATACCAGCTGGAAAAAGACAGATAATTCACCTTCATTTCCATTTGACAAGATCAGATGAATTGTGATGGTGCGCAGCTTTGGGTCACAAGAGTAAAATCTGCACTGTTTGTTCTCCGCAGTCAGCATTGATTTACCCTCACTTGAGCTGAGAGGTTATTTAAGCAGTAATTTCAGCTTCCTGCAACTGAGAAGCAATAAATGGATTCTCTTGTGCATTTGAGACATTTTTACTAAGCACATTCATGGGGAGACAACTGTTGATTATACTCCAAAGGCATCTGAAATAATAATTATGATTAAAAAATGTCACAATAAAAGCATGCTTTCTAATGACTTTCTAGCATACTTGTTTCTCTTTTATCTCCTTGAGATACTCATAAATATCCACCTTCCTCCTGTTCCTTCTTAGGACTTCAGGAAAAGAGGTGGCTGGGTGGGGAGGAGGGATTGAGTCGCGGACATCAAGGTTGACTGACATCCCTGTTGACTGGGTAACTGGCCCTTGTCATTGATTAGGACGTGTTAAGCAGCTTCATGGCAATAGGAAGTGCTGTGGTACAGAAGCATTGTGAGTTCATTCCCCATGGGACCATTTGGCCTGTCCTGAAGACCCTGCATCTAGTACATTGCTTGGCTGTGTTATAAGTAGGACAAGAAGCCCAGCTCAGACTTGAAGTTGCTGTTTTCCCCTGCCTTTAAGGGTACAGCGGGGGCGACAGCCTAGTCCTGTGTGTCAATGTACCCATGTCCATGACAGATGGCTCAAGACGATTGTTACCTTGCCAGTTGCTTTGTGGTTTGTGCAACCTGATTTCTGCAAGTCCCATTGTCTGGAGACATGGAAGGGCTCATCTACATGGTCCATGACATTGTACCAAGGAGACATCAGCCCCAGAAAATTCCCATCCAAGCAATAGGAACATGGTTTAGTGGTGGACTTGGTAGTGTTAGGTTAAGATCGAGTTGGACTCGATGATCTTAGGGTGTTTCCCAACCTAAATCAATCTATGATTCTATAATGCAGCCTGAGGCACAAAGGAGCAGCCCTTATGCAGGCAGGCATAGACCCTTGCTAGCTGGGCTACACTGCTTCCATGACCTAAAACCCTGGAGACACTTTGTGCTACATGGATGTAGGGAGCTCAAATAAATGCTGGCTCTGAGAGAAGAAAAGAGGCTCCCTTGACTCCACTGCACGCTGTATGCACACTGCATTACCAGCTTTAGGCACAAGACAACGGTGTCTGAGCACTGCACAAGTGTAGGAACCCCTTCCACCTACTCCCTCTAGTCCATAAATCATGCATTTTACCAGGAAAGTAAAATGTGCCTCATGTAGCTGAGAGTTTCTTCAGTGCGTCCATCCCTAAGCAAAGCTTCCCTTCTCATACTGTGCTAGAACTAGTTCCCTGGCTGAATATAACACCGCGGGCTGCAGAGCTGTCATTTTGGCACTGCTCATCAGCACTAAATTCAATTCTGAAAAGGAGCAAACAAAAGGGAAGAACATATCTGTTGGTTCCTGGCATTAATCAGTGAAAATTACTTCACTTCAGTGGTGCCAAATGAATATAAAGGTAATTGAAATGCAATGGCCAGCAGGCTGACCACCTCAAAATCAGCAGCAGTATAGTCTTTGTGCCAATTTAAGAATTATTTGGATTTTTCTCAGGGTTTTTTTATATGTATAATTACATTTGCATATAGGACCCTCATAATATGCCAAGTCAATAGCTCTAAAGACTGCAGTCCTGTTTTTAAACAGAACAAATTCAATCCAGGGAACAGAAGCTGCCCTCTCAGGGAGTTTCATCCTGTCCATCATAGATGCAGCCACTTTAGATTGTTGCATGGTTACTGAACAGCACTGGTATAGGTGCTAGAGTAGTTCAAGCAAAGACATTTATCCCCGTGCCTGTATTTTACCACAAGGACCAAAGGGCTGACCAGCTTGACAATCAACACAACAGTCTCATTTCATAAAAACTTAACTAATGAGAGCAACTGGTACTGAGTCACCTCCAGTCTCCTCTGAGTGTGAGCCATGAGAGTATTTTCAGTTTCATTCTCAATTCCCCAAACCCAACCTACCTTGCAGTGAGTCTGCTTTTGAGATTTCTTGTTTGGCAGAATAAGAAAACTGGCTTGTTAAAGTGTCCAGACAGGGAGAGCTAACTGCACGGAGCATCTCCTGTACCTGTGATGCAGGCAGAGGACACAGGGTGCAACCACAGTGCACGGCACAGCATGCTGATTATTCTGTCAGGAACAACTTAAGCTGGCAAATTTTAAGCTCTTACTTCTGATCATAAAATGCCTGCAAGCATATCAGGATTTTAGCACCTGCACTCATTATTCAGAATTACTTGATGAGCCTTTTGTGCAAACATGTTTAACTGCACATGGATCATCCAGAAATCATTTGGTGTGACCTTCATTCAAGAGTTCAGAATTCACAGACTGCCAAGTGACCTGTGAACCACACTGCCCTTTTCAGCCTTCATTTCTTCAGGCTGAAAAAGGGGAACAGTTCCCAGGAAGAAGGATCAGAGGAGAAGACAAGCATGAAAGATCATGGGACATTTTGCTTTTCCATGAGACTAAGTATGGCCTCAGACTGTGAAGGCAAGGTTCAAATTCAGAAATATTTTCACCCCTTCCTGACAAAAGGATTGGGAAAGGTGTACATCTGATTGATGGGCTGATTGGAAAACTTTGCCTTTCATATTCTCCTTATGGTCTCAAAAAGTAATCGCACTTGCATACATGAGGGTGATCCTCTTTGCAGTTGAATCTCTCTCTTCCTGCCTTTCACATCTAATTGCTTTCAGATTGAGGGTCTGGCTACAGCTATTAAACAGCTTGCAGTGGCCTGCAGTCCGCTTTGTAACACAGCTCCCACACATTCACCCTTCTCTCCTCCTCTCCATTTGCCTGTTTTAATTTTGCTCTCTTTCTCCTGGAGCCAGAAAAGGAAGAAAGAGACAACTGTGACAGACATCAGTGATACCGCCTGATAAAAGGTGCTCCTACACCATAGTGATGGGTGAGAGGAACCTAGAGAAAATCAAATGTGACTGACAGCATCAGTGCTGGATCTCTTGCATGGGGTACTGGCGTTACAGTGCTAAAGGTCCCATCTCTAACACAATAATATTTCATATACCTGCCAAGCATGCTGATTTGAATGTATTCATCTCCCACTTTCTGTCACCACCTATCATGGTTCATCACAGTCACTGCTGCATTATTAATAATCTTTCCTCTGTGTGTATGTGTATGTTTGTAGCCCAGATGAAAAAGAGCTCCACCTGATCATCAGCAATCTCAGTGGAGGGCATTGTCTGGAGAGTTGGGGAAAATTCACAAGAAGTCTGCCCTGCTATGTCAGTTTGAGGAACAGTCCACAGCTACTTAAAGTATCCTTTCCAGCTGGCCATGCACAATACACCTGAAGGATGGGATGACAGGGAGGAGAATGGCTTACACATTTAAATGGCACTTATCAGGAAGTTATCCTGTTAAGATCAGTATGTGAAGAGTGTGCAGTCAAATGGGGATTTTACCCCAAAATTGTGCAGGAAACCAGACAGGTAAGAGCTTTGCCCAGCCAAAGTGGTCACTGGGAGAACATCACGTAACATTTTGGTGAGCTGACAGCTTTGCCAAGAGGATGGCATTATCCCATGATTCCTGACTGGTGAGGTGGGAAAACCGATGTCTGATGGCAGAACACAGCAACAAAGAACCTCAGCTATTAGTCATGGCTGCTGTTGGAAAAAAAAAAAGACTAGCCAGATGATCACTGGTATGAAATGAAGTGTTAGCGGCAGTGACATGTAATCCCTACTTCAGAAAATACTGGGAAAGAGCACCAAGAACCCTGTGTTTCCCTTAACACTGGAAAACGCTGATGGCTCTCCAGATACAGGGATGTGACTAC